TCTCCTTCCAGACATAAGGATTACTAACCCAACATAGGATGGATAACAAGATGACCTTTTTGTTTAAAGTATTACTATTTTTGTTCAAGCAGGAAAGAATGTTTAAACTTTCAGACTTTCTCAAAGTAGCTGTATTTCCTTGTTAAAGTCATTATTTAAAGAAAACTCTCATAACTGTCTATAAACTTCTTATCACAAAACCCAAGGAAACTTGAAGACAAGTGGTGAAGACATTCACATACAGACTAAGGAATTCACTGGTACAACAGTACAAACTGCTTGGAATCCTGTAGTGAGTGTTAAGCACACTGGGGAAACAATATACAAATACATTTTACTAGATATCAAAGCCTTAACATGTCCTAACAGTGGCTAATTATTAACTCTAATAGTGTAAACTTTTAAACAGCGCTGTGTGTACAGACACTAAAAATACTCTAACAACTCCACTGGTTCCTGTTCCCTTCCTCACTGGTTCCTCATCCCTTCCTCTCATGTTAGGCAAGTAGGGACATCTCAATAACCCATTCAGCATGAAGTAGATACAGAAGACTATTTTCATCCCTGTTCCCTATTTGCAAATAAGAATATTTCAAAGCAAGAGAAGGGAATGAAAGGATAAAATATGGAATCAATACAGCCAAAGAGGAGTCATTTTAACAATGTTTAGTTCTGCCATGCTTTCTTAGCAAATTACCTAGCTTGCCCTTTAATCATTAACAAAGGACAGAATCAGTGTCCCAGAGGTAACTATTAATAATTGTCTCACAATCCCTCAGGTAGTGATTACTTTGCTATCCCAAGTATTTGTCTTCTAACCATAAAGCAGTCCTTAGCGACTTATGTGACACAGACAGACTCCCATCTCATCATGACAACAGTTCTCCCCCCGCCCCCCGCAGCCTCGACCTGCTGGGCTCCGGTGATCCTTCCGCCTCAGCCTTCCAAGTAGCTGGAACTACAGGAGCGCACTACCACACCCAGCTGATTTTTTATTTATTGTAGAGATGAGGTCTCGCCAAGTTGGCCAGGCGGGTCTCGAAGTTGCGGGCTCAGGCAACCCACTCACCTCAGCCTCCCAAGGCACGGAATTACAGGCTGAGGCACCGAGCCCGGCTAGTCTTTCTAAATAAACTATATATTCCAATCTAATTTCCATGTAATCCTTTGTATCTTTTTTTTTTTGGAGTTGGAGTCTCACTCTGTTGCCTAGACTGGAGTGCAGTGGCACACTCCCAGTCACCACAACCACAACCTGCTGGACTCTGGCGAACCAGAACTACAGGTGCACGCTACCACGCCTGGCTAAGTTTTGATTTATTGTAGAGACAAGGTCTCACCAAGTTGCCTGGGCGGGTTCTCCCAAAGTGCTGGGATTACAGGCTGAGCCACCATGCCCAGCCTTCTCTGTATCGTACCTGCAGCACCAGTTCAGCACATTGGCCTATCCCATTGACCTAACAATTCTCACAGATCTAACAACTAATTCAATTTCCAAAGGTTCACTGATATTTTCTTTTTTTTTTTTTTTTGAGTTGGAGTCTCACTCGGTCATCCAGACTGGAGTGCAGTGGCCGCTCCCGGCCACCGCAGCCTCGCCTGCTGGGCTCTGGCAATCCTTCCGCCTCAGCCTTCGGAGAAGCCGGAATTACAGGCATGCGCTACCACGCCTGGCTGATTTTTTTGATTTATTGTAGAGATGAGGTCTTGCTGCCCAGGCGGGTCTCGAACCCATGGGCTGAGGCAATCCACTCACCTCAGGCTCCCAAAGGCGCAGGATTACAGGCTGAGCCACCAAGCCCGGTTGATATTTTCTAAAATTAAGTAACAGTGTGTAACTTTATGTAGAGATTTACATATAAAATTAAACTATACTTCTAAAATATTACAATTTTTCTCAATAGGAAAGAATTAGAAGAAAGCAAGCTCTGTGAAGATAAAATATGGTGTTTCCAGAACAAATTACTAAAGGTGATAATTGTAAGATATTTGAAAGAGCTCAGGGAATCTTAAGTGGTAGTAAAAAAAAAAGCAGTGTAGCAGAGGTAGGGTAGCCAGCACAGGTTAGACATAAATAGACACATTTCTTGTAGGCAGGGTTTAGAGTGCCCAGACACCATGTTGGCAGACTAAAGGGCTATATGGACTGGACTGTGAATTCAATGTGGACTCCCAGTCCACCCCTCCCCTCCAGCTCACCAAAGGAAAACTCCATCAAGGTGGTTCCCAGACTGGGAATTAAAAAGCCAGAAAGAGGATAATAAGACCCCTTTTAGCTCAAGAACTTGTGAACTGATAAAGTCAGGCAAGTCTCCCTGGAAAAGACTGCCCATTCCTCCCATCAGAGGTGGAGAGATGTCAGTCTCACCGAAGTGATGGTTACCTGGACTCCGCTCTCTTTAGCATATCAATTGCTGTGAAAATATATCTAGTTTCTTAGTTAAGAGCAAAAGTGCAACATTTCTTTTGAGAGAGACTTGCCAATACCAGGACTTTCTGGTTCAAAACTTCCACCTGCCCTTTTTTCCCTCTCTGCTTCTTGCTAATAAACTTTGCTGGGTACTCTAAAATTCATTTTAAGATTGAGCAAAAGAATCTGTGAGTTTTACGCCACACCCCACCTGACATCATAGGTATCTCAATTAACAAAGAACTCTAACAGAGAATATGAGCTTAGAAATCACTGAGGAATCAAACATACTATAACAGTTAAATTGCCCTTTATTTTCATCTTTCCACTGGATTTACTCTGGCCTGACAGAGTAACTCTTTGGACCCTTGGTCCATACAGTGGCTTTATAACATGCTGATTTGGCTAGGCTGAGCTATATTTTCCAGAATGTTTCTGGTTTGGGTGGGTCAAAAAAAGAAGTTCTTAGGAGATTTAGAGGTCAGAAAGGCAGTAGCAGCAGCCATTTTGCACCTCACACACTTGTTACGGATCTGCTGATTTACTTTATTGGCCTGAGGCAGCACCTGGGCCTCCAAATGTTTAGCTTTCCCCTAGACTCTTCCTTCACTCCTCTGACTCTTGGTCATGTGTGCGTGTTTAGCTTTGTGATGGAGGGGTGTCATCTTCTGTAGGTCGCCCACTATACAACCAAGAAGGTGTGACACAGGTTTCAGTCCATCCTTGTGGGGTTCCAGTATGCTCTTGATCCCGTCTCTTTACAGCCATCTTCCATTCCAAATTGCCCTTGTTAATACTCCAACATCCAAAGTCAATATACTTACAAAGACTACTTAACCAGTTCCTAAAATGTAAGTCCTACAAATAATCATTTTACAAACAAAACAAATTCTTACCTATGTACCCATGTACATACACAAATACATACATTAATATATGTACATGCACGTATGCATGCATATAAATAGTGGTTCTACTGCTCTGACAGAACTCTGATTATATAGTCCAGCAATATTAAGGTGCTTCTTTCTACTTTACCTAAGGCTTCCACCACAAATAAAATTCAACAAATTCATTGTTTCTTTATTAAATTAATGATTTCCATCAGATTATCATTAAGTCTCACTACTCTGGGTCATCCATTTCAAATAGGTGTTAACATCTCCCCCGATTCACATGTGTTGATTTTATGGTTTAACTTTTAAGTTCAACCTTATTATTTGTGTTACAATTACATATAACAGCTATCATGTATTAGATATCTACTATACAGAGGACAGAAGGCCTAAAGCTCACAAAATCTTCAAAGGATCGGAAATATCACAACTATTTTACAGAAATATAGGCTAAGAAAAGGAGACTAAGAGAGGCCAGACCAGTTAAGTGGTAGACTGAGATTCAAATGCTGGGTCTTTGTGTTGTTGTTTTTTTTTAAATTGGAGTCTCACTCTGTTGCCTAGGCTAGAGTGCAGTAGCATGCTCATGACCACCGCAGCCTCGACCTGCTGGGCTCAGGTGATTCTTCCACCTCAGTCTTCCAAGTAGCTGGAACTACAGGTACGCTCAACCACGCCCGGCTAATTTTTTGATTTATTGTAGAGATGAAGTCTTGCCAAGTTGCCCAGGCTGGTCTCGAACCCTCAGCCTCAAGCAATCCTTTCACCTCCCAAAATGCTGGGATTATAGGAGTGAGCCACTGTGCCTGGTCTAAATGCTGGGGTTTTTGACAAGAAAGCTCATGTAATACTGCAGGGAAAGCTAAACAGTTATAGGCCCAGTTGCTGCCTCAGGCCAACAAGGTGAACTGACCTAAGCGAATCTAGATAAATATATATCATAGCAATATATAAAAACAGATCTAACAACTAATTCAATTTCCAAAGGTTCACTTATATTTTCTAAAATTAAGTAACAGTGTGTAACTTTATGTTATAAAAGCTCAGGCACTATATGAGTACATGTATTAACACAGATGTACCTCAACACACATGCATACTTCATATACATTTATAAATATTTATCATAATGCCCCAGAGATAAACAATAAAAGTTTAAAGAACTGAAAACCACAGTTACAAAATCACATCATGCCCTTCCCTATGCATAAAATAAGACAACAGGCTAAAAGCAGCAGGACACATTGACACCCTTAGGGACATGGTGTTATAAAATACCATCTACTTGAAATTTCATAAGATACATGCAGACAACTCTGTGTAAAGGTAACCCTCCATCTGATTAATCAGAACTTTTAGTAACTGAGCCTTTTATACATTGAAAGTATAGAGATAATATTATTTATAATGATTACCCGGAGATAGTGCAAATATTACAAATAATCTTGATCTTAAAAGACATTAAGAATAAGACAAATCATGCTAGATTTAACTTACTTGAAATTTCATATCCTATATATTATTCTTTATTTAGTTATATATAACTAGCCGGAATTTATCATCTTAATATTGTCAAATATATATAATCCTTAACAAAGAACTTAATGTTTCCTTAAATTTTACCATACTATAGAAACAATCATTGATTATAGTATGCATTGACAGAAAAAGTGCAGCTACTATCTCTGTCTTACCTGTGATTCTCTTTAAGAAATGTAACATCATAACGAGATGCACGCTTAGGCAAAGAGGACACAAGGGCATCGATTTTCATAACAAGGTCACTCATGCTAGATAAATAACACAAACAATTTATGTGCTTTTGGGAAAGAGAAAAGTTTCATATTTCATGTTACAATTAATGCTTCAAGAAAGGCATTATATATACATGAACAATGTTAGAGCTTCTACAGAAGTAGACTACAAAAGGAGGCCTACAGTATAACAGCATTTCTCTGAAAAAGTCACTGTATCCAACACAATAATGGATATTTACATGTGAAGCAAAAGTATAAACACAAATATGGGAACCACGCACACAATCTTTAGGAAAATGATTTCCTCTTGAGGAGGGAGGAGATTGGGATAGGTGGGTAAGAAAAAAAGAGACAGAGCAAGGCAGAGAAAATATTAACATCTGCAGTTTGGTGGTGGTGAGTAAATAAATGTTTATCATTTCTTTATATTCTTTTGTTTGTTTATTTGTTTGTTTTTGAGTTGGAGTCTCACTCTGTCATCCAGACTGGAGTGCAGTGGCCACTCCCGGCCACTGCAGCCTCGACCTGCTGGGCTCCGGCGATCCTTCCACCTCAGCCTTCCGAGCAGCCAGAATTACAGGCATGCGCCACCACGCCCGGCTGATGTTTTGATTTATTGTAGAGATGAGGTCTCGCTGTCCAGGAGGGTCTCGAACGCGCGGGCTCAGGCAATCCACTCACCTCAGTCTCCCAAAGGCGTGGGATTACAGGCTGAGCAACCGAGCCCAGCCTCTTTATATGTCTTTTATTGTATCTTTACTTGTCTACATATTTGAAACATTTTCTAATCTTAAAAGAAAACAACAGACTCAAAATTCCAAACTCTAAAATGAATTGTTTTTATAACTTTAAATACTTACTTCTTTGTGTCAATTTCCATATTTGCAACAATGTCTGTAATTTTTTCTACCAAATTACTAAATGTTATCCTTTCCAACAAGTAAAAATCTTCTGCATAGATACCTTCATGTAAAGGTCCTAAGAACTTAAAATAAAAAGAGTTATATTTTGTCTACCTTCTAAAAAATATCGATTTAGGAAATATTTTTCCTCATCAAACAGATATTTCTTTGTTAAGCAAAAATGGATTGGGGTTAAAGATATAGTAGTTATTAATCCCACCATTTAATAAATCCAATAGGAAACAAAGAAGAGAAAAATGTTTTCTCACTTCGATATTACAAATAACATTTACATAAACATCAAAATCAAAATGACAAAATTAAAAAGTAGCAAATTATTTTCATTAGAAAGCTTCACTTTGAAACATAAATCATGATGCTTCCAAATACCTAAGGCTTTTCATTCTAAATTCAATTATGATAGCAACTGTCTATATTTGATAAATCTTTTAATTTCAATTTTCTTTCATATTTATCTGTAAATTGTAGCCTATATTATGTAAACTAATATATGAGGAGGCCATAAAGTAGCAAAAACCAAGAGACAAATCCCATAATTACTATAATAATACCAACCAATCTTAACTAATATTGTATAAATAGTTTGGAGCAGAGCAAGGTCACCTATTTTAGTTTTAAATTAGTAACTCCAGAGTGAGAAGCTGTCAAATTGCCACATATATGAATTCTCAGGTCATCCTAACACACCATAAACTCTACTACCATGATAACTTTCTGAGAATGCTACCACATGCAATCATCATAATATCATGTACAGTCTTATGTACAACATAATTATATTTAATGACAATGAGAAAACATGTCAACCAGAATTTTTTTTCCTGGTTTAAAAAAAACCCCAGAATGTAATGGTTGTAGTCAGATTTTCTTACTTCCCCTTCTTTTGCTTGTACAGTTAATATTTTCTAAAAATTACTGAAGTTTAGTTCTTGAATCTTTCTATTACATTTGTTCATATCAAAGGTAACCCAGCTAAACAAAAGTCACATTGTTTTACCTTAAATATGAAACACAGGCTATTAAAAACACAGAAAATGGGCACTATAATACTAAAAGTTCTGATATAAACATTTCATTGTCTAAGGTTTGATATAATTTTTATGGCGACTTTGAAAGTACATTCAATTTCACATTTTTTTTAGAATAGAAATTGGGAAGCTTGGAAAAGAGTTGAATTTTACCTTTACTACCTCTAGTGACAGGTATAATTTTGTTAGTAACTTAGAATAAGGAAATAAATCTCCAATTTCTTTTTTCTTTTTTTTTTTTTGAGTTGGAGTCTCACTCTGTCGCCCAGACTGGAGTGCAGTGGCTGCTCCCGGCCACCGCAGCCTCGACCTGCTGGGCTCCGGCGATCCTTCCACCTCAGCCTTCCAAGTAGCCAGAACTACAGGCGTCTGTTACCATGCCCAGCTAATTTTTGATTTATTGTAGAGATGAGGTCTCGCCTGCCCAGGCGGGTCTCGAACCCGTGGGCTCAGGCAATCTACTCACCTCAGCCTCCCAAAGGGGCGGGATTATAGGCTGAGCCACCGAGCCTGGCTTCCAATTATTTTCTTAAGAGATAAATAAGATTAGTTATCTTTATTGATTAAATTCATCAGATAACTGGCTCTATTTTGCCTACGTTAAGCAGAGTATCAAATAGCTAGGAGAAACTTGATGCTTCTGTGTCTTAGTTCTTCTATTTAAAGTTGAATTATTTATGGACTAAAGTAACAAATAGTATAAAATCACAAAATGTCAATTTGGGAAAAAGAATATTAAACTTGAAAATTTTGTAATAATACAATGAAATCTATCAGGTGTTTAAATCTTCTTTATAACATTCTAGAAATGTGATTTTTTTCAGCTGTACAGACTAACTGCTATAACACAAATGCATGATTTCCTCTAACAGCTCATTAAAATGTTAGAAAACACTGTTAGATGTTTATCTACATACTAAGTTAAAAATCTCCCTCCACTCACAAAAGTTGAATCTACTCGCTTTGATTTTATACTGTTTTTTATCAAGTGTAACTCAAATTAAGTCTACAAATGTAACCATATGTTCTATAACAAGATTTAACTACTTCAAGAGAAAATAGCAGTTAGTATTTAGTAAAAATTTACTCTGTGTATGGATCCCTTCCACATGATTTATGTATAAAAGCATATTTAATCTGACAGCTCTGTAAAACAGATTATGACCATTTTCATTGTCCGCATGAAGAAACCAAGTCGCATACAGGTTAGATAACTAATAATGCAACTAGAATTTAAATCCAGATTTGCCTGACAATAAAACTTCAAAATAAGACCTTGCTATTTTTCCCTACTCCCTGATACCCCATGTCTTTTAGTGATGTATGAATATGTAGTGTAATAAAAATAAACATTAGCCTAGTGTGGTGGCTCCTGCCTGTAATTCCAGCACTTTGGGAGGCCAAGGCAGGCAGTTTGCTTGAGCCCAAGAGTTCTAGACCACTGGGCAACACAGCTAGACTTCATCCCTATAAAAAAATTTTAAAAGTTAGCTGGGTGTGGTGGCACACACCTGTAGTCCCAGCTACTTGGGATGCTGAGGTGGAAGGATCACCTGAGCTCAAGGCAGTGAAGGTTGTCGTGGGCTGTGATTCTCATGATCATGCCACTGCACTCCAATCTGGGTGAGAGAGAGACTCCAACTCAAACAAATAATAAATGAATGAGTGAATATTATAAAAATGACATTAGGGCTTTACTTAATATTCAAATATATACATTTTAAATTCTTTTGTGTTTTAAAGAAATTATGAGATCATCATTGTACCTAGCTATTAAACATTCATAAACAATTTTAACTTTAAATGTGTAAACATTTGAATAGGTTCAGAATAAAGATTTATGCTAAAATACCACATTTATTTCAAGCATTAAACTATCTGATTTAGAATTATAACTATCTGCTACAATTTCTGTGATTATTAGGCTTTATAGCACTACTTTCAGAGTAATAAGCTAAGAATTACATTGTAACATAAATCACAGTACTTATTTTCTGATATATTATACTTTTCTATTCAAACTACAGTTCTACAAATAAAAGGACAATCAAAATTACATTTTCCATCAGTCAACACAAAAAGTGTTAAAAAACTTATTATCTATCTCTTGCCTGAACCTTTCTCCTGAATTTAACTCATTCAATTGACTACTCAACAAATCTATTTGGAGGTCCAGAACTGAATTCTCTATCTTTCTCCTCACAGTCCTCCAGAGCAACCCCACTTATCCTGCAGCCTTCCTCATCTTGACCCATAGCAACTCCACTCTTTCAGTTACTTAGTTCTCACATCTCACACCAAGTCTATGAACAATTCCTGTTTACTCTTCCTGCAAAATATATCTCACATTCACTTCTTACTACTTCCACTAGAATCATTCTGGTCCAAGCCACTATCACCTCTCACTTGGCCCACTGCAATATTTCTTTTTTTTTTTGAATTAGAGTCTCACTCTGTCACCCAGACTGGAGTACAGTGGCTGCTCCTGGCCACCGCAGCCTTGACCTGCTGGGCTCCGGTGATACTTCCGCCTCAGCCTTCTGAGTAGCCAGAACTACAGGTGCGCACTACCACACCCGGCTCATTTTGATTTATTGTAGAGATGAGGTCTCACTGCCCAGGTGGGTCTCGAACCCGCGGTCTCAGGCAATCCACTCACCTCAGCCTCCCAAAGGTGCGGGATTACAGGCTGAGCCACCGAGCCTGGCTGCAACATTTAGCTGGCTTCCTAACCCCATTCAGTGCATTCTCCATGTAACAGACTCATGATAATGCCAATCTGCTGCCCAGAACTATGAGCTTCCAAACTCATTTGGAGCAAATTGAGAGTCCATAAACTGCCTGTGAAAAGCTATATGATTTGGTCCCTAGCTGTTTCCCTAAACTTCTTTCCTGACTGCTTTCTTCCTCTGTTTTTCCTAGAATAGCAGACATTGATTCACAGGATTCACAGATGTGACTTTGCTCTAGGACCTTTGTATTTGTCGAAACTCCTGTCTAGAACATTCCCTGTTCCAGATATTTGACATGGTTTCCTCCCTCACTTTCTTTGGTTCTCGGTCCAAATGCCACGGTCACAGTCTGAATGTGCTATGGTCTGAAAGTTTTGTCCCCTCCAAAACTCATGTGGAAACTGAATCCCTACTGCAACAGTATTGAGAGATGGAGCTTAACGGGAGGCAGAGCTCTCTGGAATAGATTAGTGCCACTATAAAAAAGGGTTTGCTCTCTCTTACTCTTCTGCCATGCAGGGACAGGGCATTCATCCTCTTTGCCCTTCTGCCATGTCAGCATGAGGTATGAAAGCTCTATCAGATGTCAGTGCCTTGATTTTGGACTTCCTAGCCTCCGGAATGGTGGGAGAATAAATTTCTGTTTTTTAAAATCTGTCTTTATAAATTACCCAGTCTTAGGTATTTTGTTACAGCAGCACAAAACAGACTAAGACAGATTGTGTCTGCCAGATTCATGAGTTGAAACTTAATGGCCAAAGTAACAGCATTAAGAGGTGTGGCCTTTGAGAGATAATTAAGTCATGAAGGTTCTACCCTCATAATAAATGGGATTTACACCCTTAAAATGAATGAGCTAGGCTGGGTTCGGGGGCTCAGTCTGTAATCCCAGCACTTTGGGAGTGAGTGGACTGCCTAAACTCATGCGTCTGAGACCAGCCCAGGCAACTTGGTGAGACCTCATCTCTACAATAAATAAGAAATTAGCTGGGTGCCTGAGGTTGAGGGCTGAGGCAGAAGGATCGCCGGAACCCAGCAGGTCAATACCGGGTGGCTATGAGCATGCTCCAGCCTGGGTGACAGAGTGAGACTCCAACTCAAAAAACAAACAAGCAAACAAAAAAGAAAGAGCTAGAGGTTTAAGGGAGTGCTCTATTGCTCTTCTACATTCCATCATGCGAAAATAGAGCAATAAAGGGCCATCTGGGAGCAGAGAGCAGTCTTCATCAGACACCAATGTCAGTACCTTGACCTTGAACTTCCAGTCATCCAGAACTGTAAGAAATAAATTTCTGTCCTTTA